GTTGATTCTTGAACCCTGCTGGTGGTTCCAGGGGGGCTAGTGTTGGTTCTTGAACCCTGGTGGTGGTTCCAGGGGGGTCTATTGTTGATTCTTGAACCCTGGTGGTGGTTCCAGGGGGGGGCTATTGTTGGTTCTTGAACCCTGGTGGTGGTTCCAGGGGGGCTATTGTTGATTCTTGAACCCTGGTGGTGGTTCCAGGGGGGCTATTGTTGATTCTTGAACCCTGGTGGTGGTTCCAGGGGGGGCTATTGTCGATTCTTGAACCCTGGTGGTGGTTCCAGGGGGGCTATTTTCTATTCTTGAACCCTGCTGGTGGTTCCAGGGGGGCTATTGTTGACTACAGAACCCTGCTGGTGGTTCCTGGGGGGCTATTGTTGACTACAGAACCCTGCTGGTGGTTCCAGACGCCACTGTTGCTCTCAGATTATTTCCAGAATCATTTGATTTATTCAGATCTTTTCCTGGATCATTGAGTGTGTAAAGGAGTCATTATATTCTTCAGTCCTGAAGCTCTGGCAGCGTTTAGAAGGAGCTGCCGGCCTCTATAACCACTGATGGCGTGTTCCCTTCACCTGCCCGGGGGTGAAGGGCTGCGGGGCGGGACTATAGAGCTAGATCTTGCTCCCCTTCAGTTGCTGATGGGTAGGCCCTGATGGGTAGCTTCTTGTGCCCTTTATCTGCCCTTCACCTTCTTCATCTTCTCTCTCTCTCTCCATTTTAGGACCTCCTTCCTATCACCTGACCCGCCTATACGTCCTTGCTTCCAAACCATGTTAATGTGTCTTCCGAAGTGCCTAAATAGAAGTTGAAATTGTGGTTGAGTACCGGAAGACATCAGCAGCCTCAGAGGAAGCCCTCAGGGGAAGCCCTCAGGGAGGCATCTCAAGCCCTCCAGGTTCTGAAGGTTCACATGAGCCAGGTTCTTGTCTGCTCTCAACAACTCTCCACCAACAAATGCCTGAAAAATGCTAAACGATGTTTATTTGGACGACTGACCACTTCTTGAAAAAAAAATTCGAGTATGTGAAGGTGTGTTGGCGTGAGGCAGTCCTTGTGAGTGCGGCAGTCCTTGTGAGTGTGGTCAGTCCTTGTGAGTGTTGTCAGTCCTTGTGAGTGAGGCAGACCTTGTGAGTGTGGCAGTGCTTGTGAGTGTGATCAGTCCTTGTGAGTGAAGCAGTCCTTGTGAGTGAAGCAGTCCTTGTGAGTGAGGTAGTCCTTGTGAGTGTGGCAGACCTTGTGAGTGAGGCAGTCCTTGTGAGTGAGGCAGACCTTGTGAGTGAGACAGTCCTTGTGAGTGAGGCAGTCCTTGTGAGTGAGACAGTCCTTGTGAGTGAGACAGACCTTGTGAGTGAGGCAGACCTTGTGAGATGGTCAGTCCTTGTGAGTGAGGCAGTCCTTGTGAGTGTGGCAGTCCTTGTGAGTGTGGCAGTCCTTGTGAGTGAGGCAGTCCTTGTGAGTGTGGTCAGTCCTTGTGAGTGAGGCAGACCTTGTGAGTGAGACAATCCTTATGAGTGAGACAGACCTTGTGAGTGAGACAATCCTTGTGAGTGAGACAGACCTTGTGAGTGAGACAGACCTTGTGAGTGAGACAGACCTTGTGAGTGAGACAGACCTTCTGAGTGAGACAGACCTTGTGAGTGAGACAGTCCTTGTGAGTGAGACAGTCCTTGTGAGTGAGGCAGACCTTGTGAGTGAGACAGACCTTGTGAGTGACGCAGACCTTGTGAGGTGGTCAGTCCTCCCTGGCCTTGGTAAGGTCGTTATCCTCCACACTCTGCTACACCCTTGAAGCCTTTTCCGTGGTACTAATTACTGGTACTCTCCTGGGAACACATTCACAACCTTGTGATAGGCTTTACACATATTCCTTGGAGATTTTCAATAGCTTTATCTTCAACCTTTTTACGTTGTCTAATCGAAAAATTGCAGCTTAGAGAAAATGTTCAGATATGTCATAACAGTTTGTTCACTCTCGGAAGCTTTCGTTCACCAGCGTGTGTATTCACCTAGTTGTGTTTGCGGGGGTTGAGCTTTGCTCTTTCGGCCCGCCTCTCAACTGTCAATCAACTGTTTACTAACGTTTTTTTTTCCACACCACACACACACACACACACACACACACACACACACACACACACACACACACACACACACACACACACACACACACCAGGAAGCAGCCCGTGACAGCTGACTAACTCCCAGGTACCTATTTACTGCTAGGTAACAGGGGCATTCAGGGTGAAAGAAACTTTGCCCATTTGTTTCTGCCTCGTGCGGGAATCGAACCCGCGCCACAGAATAACGAGTCCTGCGCGCTATCCACCAGGCTACGAGGCCGTGAGTGTGCGTGTGCGTGTGTGTGTATGTACTCACCTAGTTGTTTTTGCGAGGGTTAAGCTCTGGCTCTTTGGTCCCGCCTCTCAACCGTCAATCAACTGGTGTACAGATTCCTGAGCCTACTGGACTTTACATAACATTTGAAACTGTGTATGGAATCAGCCTCCACCACATCACTGCCTAATGCATTCCATCTGTTAACTACTCTGACACTGAAAAAGTTCTTTCTAACGTCTCTGTGGCTCATCTGGGTACTAAGTTTCCACCTGTGTCCCCGTGTTCGTGTCCCACTGGTGCGAAGAGTTTGTCTTTGTCCACCCTGTCAATTTCCCTGAGAATTTTGTAGGTGGTTATCATGTCTCCCCTTACTCTTTTGTCTTCCAGGGACATGAGGTTTAGCTCCCTTAGCCTTTCCTCGTAGCTCATACCTCTCAGTTCCGGGGCCAGTCTGGTGTCATACCTCTGAACTTTCTCTAACTTCTGCTTGTGTTTAACTAGGTATGGACTCCAGGCTGGAGCTGTGTGTGTGTGTGTGTGTGTGTGTGTGTGTGTGTGTGTGTGTGTGTGTGTGTGTGTGTGTGTGTGTGTGTGTGTGTGTGTGTGTGTTCTAGCTCTCATTTGACATCATACTGCTTCCGTTACTAGTTCACTCACGCTAAATCACTCAATCAATTACCCTCACGCTAACTCACTGATCAAGACTTAAAGCTTCAATTAGCTCAGGCCCAAAAATGTGGGTGTGTCGTCTGTTTGAGATTACTGGATCACAACACTATCTCTCTCTCCTCCCCATGTTGGCTTGCTCCCCCCCTCCCTCCCCCACGCTCACTCCCCGACCATCCTCCACGCCCACGTCGCCAGAACCTCCACGTCGCCAGAACCCCCACGTCGCCAGAACCCTCCACGTCGCCAGAACCCTCCACGTCGCCAGAACCCTCCACGTCGCCAGAACCCTCCACGTCGCCAGAACCCCCACGTCGCCAGAACCACCACGTCGCCAGAACCCTCACGTCGCCAGAACCCCCCACATCGCCAGAACCCTCACGTCGCCAGAACCCCAACGTCGCAAGAACCCCCACGTCACCAGAACCCCCACGTCGCCAGAACCTCCACGTCGCCAGAACCTCCACGTCGCCAGAACCCCCACGTCGCCAGAACCCTCCACGTTGCCAGAACCCCCACGTCGCCAGAACCCCCACGTCGCCAGAACCCTCCACGTCGCCAGAACCCACCACGTCGCCAAAACCCCCACGTCGCCAGAACCCTCCACGTCGCCAGAACCCTCCACGTCGCCAGAACCCCCACGTCGCCAGAACCCCCACGTCGCCAGAACCCCCACGTCGCCAGAACCCCCCACGTCGCCAGAACCACCACGTCGCCAGAACCACCATGTCGCCAGAACCCCCCACGTCGCCAGAACCACCACGTCGCCAGAACCACCACGTCGCCAGAACCCTCCACGTCGCCAGAACCACCTCGTCGCCAGAACCCCCCACGTCGCCAGAACCCTCCACGTCGCCAGAACCACCTCGTCGCCAGAACCCCCACGTCGCCAGAACCACCACGTCGCCAGAACCCTCCACGTCGCCAGAACCACCTCGACGCCAGAACCCCCCACGTCGCCAGAACCCCCCACGTCGCCAGAACCACCACGTCGCCAGAACCCTCCACGTCGCCAGAACCACCTCGTCGCCAGAACCCCCCACGTCGCCAGAACCACCACGTCGCCAGAACCACCACGTCGCCAGAACCACCACGTCGCCAGAACCCTCCACGTCGCCAGAACCCCCCACGTCGCCAGAACCACCACGTCGCCAGAACCACCACGTCGCCAGAACCACCACGTCGCCAGAACCACCTCGTCGCCAGAATCCCCCACGTCGCCAGAACCCCGGCTCTAAGATTCTGAAGCGAGTCCTTCAGGATCGGTAATGTCAGACCAATTCTACAAAAGCGGAATCCTTATCGCCTTCAACAATAAGTGAAGCTGGAGAAAGTCCTGAGGTATGCCACGAGACTACTCCCGGAGCCGAGGGGTGTGAGCTACGAGGAAATACTGCTGGAATTTAACCTGGAAGACGAAATATTTCAGGAAGACATGATTACCACCTACAAATTCTCAAATGATTGGCAGGGTAGATAAAGACAGACTGTTTATTGCACTGGTGGGACGCGAACAAGGGGACACAGGTGGAAACTGAGTACGGAAATGAGCCACAGGGACGTTAGGAAGAACTTTTTCAGTGTCAGAGTAGTTAACAGGTGGAATGCATTAGGCAGTGATGTGGTGGAGGCTGACTCCATACACAGTTTCAAGTGTAGATATGATAGAGCCCAGTAGGCTCAGGAATCTGTATACCTGTTGATTGACAGTTGAGAGGCGGGACCAAAGAGCCAGAGCTCAACCCCGTCGCATAATCAATTAGGTGACAACAGTTTCAGATACACTATGTCACTGTTTTAATTATAGCATCTCTTGCCTTGTTAAAGAACCCGTGTCTATGTTAAGGAACAAATGTCCTCGTTAAAGTACCTGTGTCCTTGTTAACGTAACCGTGTCCTTGTCCTTGTCAATAACCCGTGTCCTTGTTGACGCAGCTGGTGGACCCCCCCCCCCCCCCCAACACTCTGAGGTATTACGTGTATTTCACTTGTTTCAGGGTCAGCGGAACGCGCCTTCACGTCACAGTCCAATAGAGGTATCTGCTCCTTCACGTTATCTGCCCGCCAGCCTCTCCCTCCCTCCCTCCCTCCTTCTCTATAGCTCAGCATCCCGGCTCTCTCTCCACCATCTCCTCCCTCCCTGTATATCTTGTGTCTTGACTCTGATGCTTCCCATGCACGCATGCGCTCTGCCTTTGTTTCTTATTATCTCTCTCCCCCTCCCTCACTCTCCCTCCCTCTCTCTCCCTCCCTCTCCTACTGAAGCAGTAGTGTTGATGCTTGAGCACTTCTCGTTTGGTGACACGTCACCTAAACTGTTTTATTTTTCAATCTATTGGTATGTTCTTAACACTCCATTCCTTGGTCACCTTCCCTCCATGTTACTGGAGGGGTAACCCTCCCCATATACCCTCCCCTCACACACACCCCACTATGCCCTAATAGGGTACCCCTCCCCACCCACACAACTTACCATTACCTAATATGATACCCTCCCCACCATACCCTAATAGGGTACCCTCCCCACCCACACACCCCACTATGCCCTAATAGGGTACCCTCCCCACCCACACACCCCACCATGCCCTAATAGGGTACCCACCCCAATAGGGCAGTGTTACTGCCTAGTAGTGTTACTGAACATAAAATTATACTTACGAGAAGGGATTACATTTCCCGCCTTTTCCATGACCTTTGAATTTGTGGCGTGCGCAAGACGGCTGCGCAGGACGGCTGCGCAAGACGGCTGCGCAGGACGGCTGCGCAAGACGGCTGCGCAGGACGGCTGCGCAGGACGGCTGCGCAGGCCGGGTGAACCGTCACGGGCTTAACTCTAATAAAACGCACGTTAACTGCCCTACTGTAGGCTGTTTAGTGTAAACAATAATATTCATATTATACTCCGGCATAATATAATGTTAACTAATGTGGATGCTTGTTATTGAGAAGTATTTGTGCGTCAGTCTGCGTCAGGGTCTGCGTCAGAGTCTGCGTCAGTCTGCGTCAAGGGGTTGACAAAGAGGTGTTGATACCGTGACGTCATTATGACGTCAGACATCCCAGTTAGAGGTGACAGACAATTCGGCCCCTGTTATTGCTCTAAACTTCTAGGTATTTGCGTGTGACCCCTATTGTGTGTGACCCCTATTGCGTGTGACCCCTATTGCGTGTGACCCCTATTGCGTGTGACCCCTATTGCGTGTGACCCCTATTGTGTGTGACCCCTATTGCTATTGTGTGTGACCCCTATTGCGTGTGACCCCTATTGAGTGTGACCCCTATTGCGTGTGACCCCTATTGCGTGTGACCCCTATTGCGTGTGACCCCTATTGCGTGTGACCCCTATTGCGTGAGCATTACTGAAGTGGCAACACTGCCCAGGTTGCAGTGACCACCCTCCTTATAATCTTGGTATCTGTGCCCTCTCTGCCCCTGCCTGCCCCTGCCTGCCCCTGCCTGCCCCCTCCCTGCCCCTGCCTGCCCCTCCCTCCCTCCCTGCCCCTGCCTGCCCCTGCCTGCCCCTTCGTGCCCCTGCCTGCCCCCTCCCAGCCCCTCCCTCTCCCTCCCTGCCCCTGCCTGTCCCTCCCTGCCCCTGCCTGCCCCCTGCCTGCCCCCGTGATCACCCTCAACAGCCAACGGTCCTGTTCCTGGAACTACTGCCCTGATGGCTGTTTCAACCTGACCGCCCAAGTTATCCTCCACACTTCTGTTTATCCCGCGAGCTGACGCGTTAGCGAGACCCTCTGTCTGTCTGTCTGTCTGTCTGTCTGTCTGTCTGTCTGTCTGTCTGTCTGTGAACCTCTGTCTGTGTGAACCTCTGTCTGTGTGAACAGAGGTTGACACAAGGAAGAACAGGTTCACACAGTCTATCTGCCTGCTTGCCTGTCTTTCTACCTGCCTCTCTACCTGCCCGCTTGCCTGCCTGCTGACTGCCTGCTTGCCTGCTGACTGCCTGCTTGCCTGCTGCCTGCCTGCCCGGCCGCCTAATAACAAACTTCCCCAAAAACAAGACTAACAAACAAACTAAACAAATACAGTACTGATTAATGACGTAAATATTGATGCAAGTGCAGATGTTTTTGTTCCCAGTTGATTGTGAACTTTACATCAACAGTGTGTGTGTGTCTACACTTATTTCCTCTACTACACACTCACACACATTATATATATATATATATATATATATATATATATATATATATATATATATATATATATATATATATATATATACACACACACACACACACACACACACACACACACACACACACACACACACACACACACACACACACACACACATTTGGAAGTGATGTGGTGGAGGCTGACTCCATACACAGCTTCAAATGTAGATATGATAGAGCCCAGTAGGCTCAGGAACCTGTACACCAGTTGATTGACAGTTGAGAGGCGGGACCAAAGAGATAAAGCTCAACCCACGCCCCCCCCCCCCCCACAAGCACAACTAGGTGAGTACACACATGTATCTCCTACCCAGACCTAAACACCCCCCTCCACCCTCCTCCCCCCCCCCCCCAACACCTTACAATCCAGCGGCTGACTTAGTTACAACAACATCATAACAGTATTGTACACTCTTAAATAAATGTGTCGAGAGTTATAACAAATGTTGTGTTTCCTGCGTCAGTATTGTGTAGTACCGGAGGGGAGAGGGGGAGGGGGGTGAGGGAGACAGGAGGGTGAGGGAGAGAGGGAGGTGAGGGAGAGAGGAGGGTGAGGGAGAGAGGGGGGTGAGGGAGACAGGAGGGTGAGGGAGAGAGGTGAGGGAGAGGAGGAGGGTGAGGGAGAGAGGGGGGTGAGGGAGAGAGGGAGGGTGAGGGAGAGAGGGGGGTGAGGGAGACAGGAGGGTGAGGGAGAGAGGGGGGTGAGGGAGACAGGAGGGTGAGGGAGACAGGAGGGTGAGGGAGACAGGAGGGTGAGGGAGACAGGAGGGTGAGGGAGAGAGGGGGGTGAGGGAGACAGGAGGGTGAGGGAGAGAGGAGGGTGAGGGAGAGAGGGAGGGTGAGGGAGAGAGGGAGGGTGAGGTAGAGAGGGAGGTGAGGGAGAGAGGGAGGGGGGTTAAGGGAGTGAGGGGGGGGGTGAGGGAGTGTGCCTGCTGATTAGTAAGGACTAACAACTGGAGGGGGTGGTCATGGTAGAGAGTGAAGGTGTCTGGCGCTAGACAAGGGGCTCCTCCACAACATGAGCACACACACACACACACACACACACACACACACACTAGTCACAGTCACACACAACACTCCACTACACCACTTGGGCTGGACGATAGAGCGACGGTCTCGCTTCATGCAGGTCGGCGTTCAATCCCCGACCTGACAGGAAGAACATAATATCTGTCACTACAACATAAAAGGCAGGTGGCGTCGCCTGTAGGACTGGACCCCGACTATACATCATGAGAGACTTCAACACGAGCAACACTGAATGGGAGCACAAGCACACACTTGGAGGCTAGTTCATGGCACACTGAACTATTAGCAGCAGCAACGGGGAACATTCCTAAGTCTACGTGCGACCCAAGCCACTCAAGAGGTAATAACTAACCAGCGAAACCTTGTCTGATAATTGCTTTAATCGAGTCAGGCGGAGAGTAAGACAATTTGGCAGCCCCCGTGGGAGTGAGTGAGCCTCGGGGTACACACACTCCTGTAGCAGCCCCCGTGGGAGTGAGTGAGCCTCGGGGTACACACACTCCTGTAGCAGCCCCCGTGGGGGTGAGTGAGCCTCGGGGTACACACACTCCTGTAGCAGCCCCCGTGGGAGTGAGTGAGCCTCGGGGTACACACACTCCTGTAGCAGCCCCCGTGGGAGTGAGTGAGCCTCGGGGTACACACACTCCTGTAGCAGCCCCGTGGGAGTAAGTGAGCCTCGGGGTACACACACTCCTGTAGCAGCCCCCGTGGGAGTGAGTGAGCCTCGGGGTACACACACTCCTGTAGCAGCCCCCGTGGGAGTGAGTGAGCCTCGGGGTACACACACTCCTGTAGCAGCCCCCGTGGGAGTGAGTGAGCCTCGGGGTACACACACTCCTGTAGCAGCCCCCGTGGGAGTGAGTGAGCCTCGGGGTACACACACTCCTGTAGCAGCCCCCGTGGGAGTGAGTGAGCCTCGGGGTATACACACTCCTGTAGCAGCCCCCGTGGGAGTGAGTGAGCCTCGGGGTACACACACTCCTGTCGCAGCCCCCGTGGGAGTGAGTGAGCCTCGGGGTACACACACTCCTGTAGCAGCCCCCGTGGGAGTGAGTGAGCCTCGGGGTACACACACTCCTGTAGCAGCCCCCGTGGGAGTGAGTGAGCCTCGGGGTACACACACTCCTGTAGCACCTGCAAGTGGGAGTAACCTGAGGAAGGTCTAGTGGGAACCGGTGGCTGAGCGGACAGAACACTGGACGCGTGATCCTGTGGTCCCGGGTTCAATCCCGGGCGCCGGCGAGAAACAATGGGTAGTTTCATTCACCCTGATGTTCCTGTTACCTAGCAGTAAATAGGTACCTGGGAGTTAGTCAGCTGTCACGGGCTGTTTCCTGGGGGGAGGGGGAGTGGAGGCATGATCGAGGACCGGGCCGCGGGGCAACTCGTTCTCGCACTTTCGTATAGTCAATATTGACTTATTACTAATTTATTGTGAATAATTTAGTTTACCTTGAAAAGATTCATAGAAAACACCGACCTTACCTAACCTTCTTAGTATGTTAAGATAAGCATCTTATTGCTTCGTAATTACAATTATTACTTAACCTATTATAGAGGCCCGACACAGACAACTTCACAGCCTCGTCACCAGGAACCAGCCGGTGGAGGCATGATGCTCACACACAGTATGAGGAAGGTGCGGTAATCACATACTTGTACTTGCAGAATTGTGCTTGCGGGGGTTGAACTTTGGCTCCTTGGTCCCACCTCTCAACTCTTTTTTTTTTTCAACTGGGGTACCGGTTCCTGAGCCTACTGGGCTCTATCATATCTACACTTGAAACTGTGTATGGAGTCAGCCTGCACCACATCAC